TATTTTAATTTATTTATTTTTCATTTCAATGAACATCTACAGAGATTTTGAATTCCATTCATTCATTGTTGCACCCTTCTCCCCCCACCCCCATTTGCTCCTCTCCTTGAAAAGCAAGGAGGCTAGGCTTTTTACACTCTATCTCACATACTTTGGGCATGTGGCCACGAAATACTGGTCCTTGAGAAAGGCATCATGCTCAGAAGGGTGGAGGGACAGAACAGGAGAGGAAGACTCCAAGTGAGATGGACTGATAAAGTAACTGGGGAAATTGGGGTAGGTGTGTGAGACTGGTTCAGGACAGGGCAGGCTTCAGAGCTGCTGTACACAGGGTTGCTACGACTCACAGGTGACTACATGGAACATAAGAACCACCACCACCACCACAATATATGCTCTCGTGTGATGTGTGTCAAGTGCTTCAATGATGATGAGGATAAAACAAGGTTCAGGTCTGCTAGTTCTGAAGGTTGCTGTGAGTTGCACTCAACTCAGTGGCACTCAACAATAACAAAAGCTGTGCTAAATATCTGTAATATATTTTTCATATGAGCAGAGCTGTCTCACAGGGTTTCCGAGGATGTAATCCATGCTGCCCCCTTTCTCCCACAGGCTGGCTGGTGTGTCTGACCTCTCTGACCCTTTGGTTAGAAATTGAGAGTTTTAACCACTACATCACCAATGCTACCATGAACAACATTTTGAGACATTCATCTCTCTAAAACACATCTATTTACACACAAATCTGTTCTTATAAGTAGGACCCTAATGGCAGGCACAGCACTGTGTTAGGCTAATATCCATGAGCCATCCTATGGGAGAAATAGGATTCAGTTTCCTTCCAAAAATTTACAGCCTCAGAAACCCAATGGGAGGGTTGCTAGGAGTTAGGATAGGACTGGTAACAGAGAATTCTTGCTTTTTAGGTTGCTTTTTTAAAAACGTAGCTATTGTTGTGTGCTACTGAGTCGGAACTGGCCCATAGCTGACCCTCTGCCGGTTTTCAGAGGCAGTAAAGGCACAGGAGGAAATAGCCCATCCTTCTCCAGCAGAGCAGCTGGTTGATTAGAACTGTATGCCTTCAGGATTGCAGCACAGATTCTTGCCACTAGGCCACCAGTGTTCTCTATTATAACTACATATGTATACATACATATATGTTGTTTTAGTTATCTTTAAAATAACTAAAATTTTTAAATCCTCTAGATTTTAGTACCCAGTCTAGAAGCTGAAGTTTCAACTAAGCCTTATACAAATTATCTAACTGTGGCCAAGTTACTTAGACCTTTGTATGGTCTAAGTAATATAATTCCTTATAGAATTATAAAGAATATATAATTATGTATTTCCTTATAGAATTGTAAAAAAGCTATCTGCTCAACAGATTTTTTACAATGAAAATACTTCATATCAGTAAGAAAAAAAAATAAAAAAATAGTTACTATACACATAAACAGCCTAGGATAATCTTAGGTATATTCTGTAAAGAACTGCACTTCTAACCCAGAGGCAAAGCCTCATCAGTGATTCAAATACAGCAGCAGCCCCTCAGGAAAATGATGGGCAATCTATCGCCGCCACAGTGATTTACAGCCTCAGAAACTCTAAAGAGGGCTAGGTACGGGTTGGCTCTGACTCCACAGCAATGAGTTTTTGAGTGAGTATACTCAATATACTTTAACAAAAAAACCACACTTGTTTTATTTTCTTTTTTTAACTGTTATTTGTGTGTGTACTGTCAAATTGGATCTCACTAGTACAGGAGGAGGAGACTGTCCCTCTTTCTCCAACACAGCATCTCCTGGATCGAACTGCGCACTTCTGGGATTGCAGTGCAGCTTCTTGCCACTAGGCCACCAGAGCTTTCCTGTATTTTTTCTAAGTATTTAAATAAAAACAAAACATTTGAGGAACTAGGACATTCCCCAACACATGTACAGATCTCAAGATCTCCAACTCTGCAATTCTGTTGTCTAGGAAATAATGTGCCTCCTCTAAAAACTCTAACACTCAAGAATCAGAAAAGATGCATGTTCTTTATGACAAAAACAAACACAGGAAGGTTGGTGAAGACAGTAACAGTCCAAGCCTTCTGACTCACCAGTCCCATGAGTACAACCCCGATCATAAAACAGACAATTCAAACTAACTGCTGTTGAGTCACAACTGACTCATAGCTGACCTTCCAGGGAGTTTTCAGAGGCTGTAAATCCTAATGGAGATTATCTATTTTCTCCTACAAAGCACCTGGTCTAACTGCCAGAGAAGCAACAACTTTGGTTGAGCAGCGCAGCTTCGAAATGATTTCTGATGCATTAAGATTGTTCATACTCATAAAAAAAATCTGACGTGTTCCTCAGAAGTGATCTATGTAATTCCTTTCATTTTTAAAATTAAGAACTGAGATCTAGAGAACTTGTTCAGATCTCAGGAGACTTCTATACCTCATACATGTCACCTCTATAGCATTTAAGGTGAGGGAGGGAATCTACAATTTTTAGTGACTTTACACATAATCTTAAATGAAATCTACTTCAATCTTGTAACCTTATACTTTAAGCCTGACTAAGAAACTTGTAGTACATCACTTGATTGGTAGTACAATACTCACAGAAGTTAAAAACTGGAAAAAATCAAAATCAGGGACCTAGGAGTAAAACCAAAGACTATAAAATTCATCAGAGAAAAGCTAGGAAGAACTCTAGAAGCCCTAATCCACAGCTTGAGCAGTCTTCCAAGTATAAAGAACAACCTGTAATCAAGAGAGAATAAAACAGAAGACCTTCTAAGAATCAAATCCCTACGCAAATCAAAAACTTCTCCAACAGAGTAAAAAGGAAAAAATATTTGGCAATGACATTACCTGATAAAGGACTTAAATTTAAAATTTATAGAATACTTCAGTACCAACAAGAAACAGGAAAAGAACCCAATCACAAAATGGGCACAGGGTATGAACAGACACCTGAACAAAGATGACATTCAGATGGTAAACACAGACATGAAGAAATGTTCAGAATCCTTAGTATCAGAGAGCTGGAAATTAAAACAACCATAAAACAACCATGAGATATCATCTCATCCCAGCAACAACAGAAAAGTTCAACAGCAAACAACAAATGCTGTGGAGATATT